TAAAACTCTCAGTATGTGTAAGCTATTTTGATTATTTTCTCGGCATTGTGTCATTTCTCAGTTCCAGCTTATCGCGCAGTACTCTGAAAGAGACTTTCTAGCAAAACAAAGATTATAGATCCTCTCATTTTTTCTCTCAGAGAAAATAGTGAATTGGTCCAGGGGCAAGATATGGGAGTAACAAACTCAGCATTTCTTGCTGATGTTTTCCATTTCTCAGAAGGCAAAGGAAGTGACAAGGACCTCTCGACTAGACTCTGAAATTGGTGATAGACTTGAGACAGGGACCTTGAGAGAAAGTCAAGACCACCTTAAGCGTTGGGGTACAGAGCATCCACTCTCGTTGTTCATCAGCTCTGAATTTACTTCTGGTCGACTTCCTGCTGCTTTCCTGACAGGCTGCTCTGAGCTGTCCTTTACTATCCTCAACCTTCCCTTTCTCCTCCTGCCTGATCTCGGCCTTCTGTATAAAACCTTACCCTCCACCATTACTCAGCCTCATCCTCCAGTCTGGCCTGTTGCACAGCTCCAGAGGATGATGTTCACATTGGAGGTGCACCACTTGGTGGCCTTGTCATTCCAGATGCTCTCCCCAGGGCTCGTGGGCTGCTTCAGCTAGAACGCGCTTAACACAGTTCTTTCAAAGCGCTGCACTCGCTCTTGGTTCGGGGAGTCTGTATGTGCTTTTATCTCTGCCTTGAAAGCCCTTCTCTCTCTCCTCCCATAGTCCACTGCCACCCTCCCCCCAGCTCACAAAAAGAACAAATTCCTCCTTAGGTCAGGATCACTCGGGTTAACTTCTACTTATATTTCATGACACAGATTAAATATCACTTCCTTAGGGAGGCCTTCCCAGAAACTTAATCTAGGATAAATCCCTTTGTTTAAACAGTATTCTTTGATGTTCTTTTTTTGTAGCATCTAACATAAGGGGGATTTGCTTAAAGTCTGTATAAAGGCCACGGGGACAGGAACTGTGTCTGTCTGGGTCTTCACTATGTGAGTAACTAATAGGCCTGCCTTACACCAGGCCTCCCCCAACCTCTCTCAGAGGTTACCTCTTCTAATATTTCCTGTTTGAAATTCTTCTAGTGGCTTCCTCTGTAACTCTACCTAATATACTTATTTATTATTTCCTGATTAACTGAGACAATAATGATTGATTTCCTATAATGCAAGATGAGGATTTAATTTACTTTCTCTACATCTCATTTTATTTTCTCTCTTCTTTGTAATGTTTTCCAAGTTTCACTTTTAGTTCTTTCCTTGGGTTATCTTTATAACTGCAAATTATAAACTTAAGCCATTACTTATTTCCATGAACTTTAGACGGTTACTCTTAACTCCTTACTACATTTGAGAATGCTACTAGTATTCTTACTGTTATGCCCCCTTATCTTTTTTCTTCTGCTGTCCACATTTTTCTAGCTCTACCCTTATTTTTACATCATCAGATTTATCACATAGACACTGTTTCATAATCAAAATTTAGACTTTTCTTTTGTCCATAGTTGATTCTGAAAGTCAAATATAAGTAAAGAGTTTGCATTATTTTGGCTTCGTAAATATTTGTCATTACGGAACTACTGGGGATGCAGATTCAGCATCCCAGGTCCTGTTCTATTAGAAGTAGCCTGTGCCTGGTGGGAAGGTCAAATGTTAAATGGCTTCTTTTTACTTATACTTTATCAATTCTTTGCTGTGGTTCCATATCATGCGTAATATTTGGACCATGATTTCCTTGTGTAGTTTAATTTTAAATTTTCTTTTTGGAGTTTCTATTGCTTTTCTTTTTTATTCTTGATAACATGGATATTCCAAAGACTAAAAGTTATCTTACCATCTGTTGCCTGATGTCACAGCCCTTCTCTTTTCTGAGTCTGATTTTTACTATTTTGTAGATGTCTGGTTGTTCTCTCCCGAAGCCTCTTGGACCCTTTTTATTTTTGGTGTCTTAAAATTCCACAAAAATGTGTCTGATTTTTTTAACCATCCCCAGTGCTGAGTATTCAGCAGGCACCTCCGGTCTGATGATTTCTGTATTCTATAGCCATGAGAAATTTTCTTTATTATTTTATTGACAAATTCTTTTCTCCTCTATTTTTCTTTCTGTTATCTTTTTCTCTTTGATTGAATCTCTATGTCTTTTACTTTTTGTCTCCTATTTTTCTTTATTTTTATGAGCGGGGATTTTACTTTTTGGGAAATGCCTTTATTCTTTTAATTTTAATTTAATTTATCAAATTTTTTTAATAACAAATTCAGCAATTTGTTATTTTTAAACTATTTGGTGTTCCTCTTCATAGCATCTATTTTTATCTCATTGATGCAATTTCTTCTTAACTAATTAGATTTTTTTTAGAGTTCTCCTATGATTTCTAAAATGCTTGTGTTTCCCATGGAGTCTGTTAGTCTTTATGCATATCCTCTTCCAAGGTGCTAATTTCTCTCAGATGTCTGATGATTCTGATTGTACTTTCATATCGAAGGATGAAGGACCTGATTGTTTATTTAGGACTGTTGGAGACAATTTATTCTGCTCTTGACTAGGCAGGGCTAGCTCTTCCATCAATCTCCCCCAGGAATGAGACGTATGACCGGCACCTCTGTGTTGGTGAACATGGCTTGTTGGCTGGAGGATTTTGCTTTTAGGTATAGTAATGGCAAGCTAGCCATTAGACTGGGCTCCCACCAAACCAAATGTTAGATTGAAGAGAGCTTTGCTCTGGGGTACCCATAACCCTACTCTCAGTCTTTAGCCTCTTCAGAAAATCAATTTTTTCCCCTGTACATACACACACACACACACACACACATGCAGGTGTTAGATATGCAAAAACTTTAGTGCCCCTATTAATCATCTGTTTGTTTTCTGTTGTGCCAGCACAATGCCTAGCTCTAAGTAAAAATGCAATAATTGTTTTAAATGACCATATAATAGTAGCACGTAGCTTTTATGTATTCGCTAATGAGAGTTCAACCACATTAAGATACACTTCTTGTACCCAAGCAGCTAATAGTTTAGCTTCTAATGGAACAGATGCGTAAACAAATCACTACAATAAAGACAGAGAAGTGCAATCGAATGTGTTTGTGCAAAACGCTGGCATTTGAGGAAGAGACATTAAGTCTGAGAGGGAGAGCAAGGAAAAGCGGCAGAGAGTGATGACATTTCTAGAGGCGGAAGAGCACATCGGATGAGAAAGCAGCCTCTGGAGCCAGTCTGCTCCAATTTGCATCCTGCCTCTGTCACTTACTGGTTTTCCTTGGACAAGTTATCCTCTTTTCCTGTTTCCTCTCCTGTAAAATGGGCGTGTGATAATAGCTCTGACCTCATAGAGTTTTTGTGAGGATTAAACAAAATACTATACATAACATGCTTCAATGGTGCCTCCCATTCAATACATATTAGCTCTTATTAGTATTGCTATTATTTCTTCATGTGGCCTTGAATGATGATTTCAATAGCCAGAGAACGGGCAGATGGTTATTGCTGGGAAAATAAGCTTTGTGAGTGAAGGCACAGTGGTAGGAAGGTGCAGGCACATTTAGAGAGGGGAGTGACTGAGTATGATAGAATGCAGGGTTCCAGGGCGTTTGCCCGAATAAAACCAGGAAGGAGCTGGACCTGATCACAGGAGGCCTTGGTAACACACAAAGGAACCGCTTACACCATCTCTTGTCATCAGTTTTCTGGCTTGAGGTACTGTGTACATAGTAAGTAAGGCAGTCAACAAAGTTAGGGAATCTATAACCGCTGTCAGTGTTGAAACTTCTAGGGACTCCATTTAATAGGTGGCATGGACAAATTAGGAACATTGAGAACATACAGAAATGCCTCCTTGAAGGAGAGGATCAAGGAAGGGACAGGATTGAAAATAATTGGATGAAAAAATTCACAGCCTGGGGCCAGGGAGGGGGTTTATAACAGTGGTCCTTTGTAAGAGCAGTTAGACTTGTAGCTAACTTTGAATTATGGAATTTGGTCCATGTGTGGAAGGGTTAGAAAGGTAGCTTTTGAAAAGACACGAGGATAACCTTTTTAACCATCCAGTGACATCATAAGATGCACAGGCTTGCTATGGGAGGCAGTAGGGACACAGTCACTGGAAATGCCCAAGGAAATGGAGGTTGCTGGGCCAGTGCTGACATGGGCTTCTGGGAGCGTCTTCTGCCTGCTTGGGTCCATGTCATCTAAAGTTTCTACTGACTCCATGTGCCTATTTTTTACATGATCTCCAGGTCAGAATTCATTTCTAAGTTTCTCCAGGTGCAGTCTCAGCACCTTCTCCCCTACTTCCCTCCCCAGCTATAGGTGTGAGGTTTCACTCGGCTTTAGAGGTTTCCGTGCTGAAAGGAAGGACTGGATCAGTGCGAGCCAGCAAGCTGATACCAAGGCTGTAAAGCCACCCACTTCCACAAAGCCTGGGCAGAACAGGAGAGACAGAGCATGTTGAATCATTCTTCAGACCCAGCTCCTGCTTTATCCATTGTGGTATCTTTTAGGTCTTTGTCTAAGGAGTAGGGCTGCTTTTTCATGGCTGCTATCATGCCTGTACCTATAAGTTCTTAAGCCATACAGCCATTATTTTTCATTCTGGAGGCTTTTAAAAGTCAAGTCTCATCCTCAAAGCTTCACTGGTGCACAACACTAAAGCAAAAATGGAAAGCTTCAAACGATGTGGCCTTGCACACATGCTTAGGGGCTTGAATAAGGCTTCAAAGAATTTAAAAAATGGTATTTCCACAGGAAAGTAAGAAGCTGAGGAAACTGGAACAATTCCTCCCAAACCTGGCCAATGATCCTTGTTGAGGATGCTGATTTGCCCTATGTTTTATGCCGGACTGTGCAAAATAAACAGTGTGCACAATGAGCACTAATTGCTTCATTTATCCTTCCATTTACCCAGGGGAACATCAGAGCTTATTCAGGCCCAGAATGGAAAATTACATGTTGGAGAGAAAAGAGCCACACTGAAGGGATGACAATGCAATTCAGGTTCTGTTCGTTCACATATTTTATTTATCCAGTGAAGAAAGGAAAAAAAAGACAGAACTTGAAGGTGGCACAAATGCTGAGAGAAGACCAAGGTCACGTGTCCCATTTTCCTCAGTCTAATTTAAATCTACAGATTAAATAAAAGTGCAAAGGGGTGAGATGAACATTTTGCTGGAGAATAAAATGTCTCATTTGAGAAAGAAAATCCTTTTTAAGGTTAATCTCCGCTCCGGGTTTCTTACTTGAGGATGGCTTGCTTTTGTCTTTATAAAAATATGACAGCATTGTATAATCTGCTGGGGTTGGATATTTAAGAGTAGGTAGCGAGGAGGCTGCTGACTTGGCAAACTTCTGGGAGTCCAGGTCTGAGAGAATTCCACCGCGGTGAGAGCCACAAGGACATTGCAAACATCCTTGATGGCAGAGACATGATGACATATGGCGAAAAACGAATCTCAGACATCATAGTCCAGGACCCCCATTATCCAGATGGGGAAACTGAGGCCCAGGAGGTTAATTTCCCCAAGATCACACAGCTAGTCAGTGGTAGGAACTCAAATTTCCTGGCTTCTAATTCAGTGCTTTTAGACACTGCATAAATACCTATTCCTAGCATTAATTTCTCTCCCAAGATTCTAAAGTTGGCAATTTTAGCCTTTTGAGTAAAAAAAGTGGAAAAAACAAAAAAGCTTTGCTGCCAACTCTGATAAATTTGTATCCAATCTCAGGAACTTCATGTTAAGATATAGTTAAAAGACTAATGTTTGGGTCAAAATCAGGGCATTTGCTTTTTCTATGAACACACACAACAATATCTTATACGCAGTGAGACAGGAATGGAGGGCAGCACCACACAAGAAAGATTAGAAAAACCAATATTCAAAAATGAAATGGACCATCTTGGCCATTGGTCGGCTGGTCTAAACTGCAGCGCTTTCCAACAACACGGAAAATGACACAAAGTCACAATATATGAGAGGGGAGTTCCAGAGGGCTCCAGGAGGGCACACAGAAGTACCCCTTTAAGCAGCTGGGTGCATGTGCACAGGTTCACACACGGCATCCACCTTCAGCAGACCCACCTGAATTGAATGAGGGTGAGCCCACGCACTCTACTGCCCATGGCCGAGCATAGCCCTGGGGCAAGTCAACGCCACACATCCCTGTCATCCTGAAAACTGACCTGCTCTGTTTCAACACTGTGTGTAAATTAGAGAGGGGAGGACTGAGGTGGGAAAACTTTCAGGTTGCTGCTATAGGCTGGACATTTTGAACCCTGGTCAAAGTGACTGGAATCTTCGTTTCCCCCGGGCCCGGAGCTTTTGTAACGGGCTGGGTGTGGGCCTTGATGTCTGCTATTCGCTCTTTAAACTTCTGCTGAAGGAATTTTTCTTCTTTGGAGTAGCTTTTTGCAAACACCGACATCAGCAGGCACCCTGCCATGGACGTGCCCCCAATGCAGAAGAGAACGGCTCCTGCCAGCTTGCACATGTCAAGGGCTCCGTTAAACTGGACAGCATGAGTGTCAACCACCACAAAATCGGCTTCGCCAAAGGCTTCGATTTTGGGGGGCACAAGAAAGCCCACTGCCAGAACAGTCAATCCAAGAATCACGAAGACTGTGCCAGAGATGAGTCCGACCTAGAGAAAGACACAAGGAAGCAAGCCAGAATAAGCACGGTGCTTCAGCACTCCCTGAGCCCTCCAGGGCAGGACTTGTCTTATTTTTTGGGAAAAGTGAATTTTCCTGGTCACTCCAAATTTTTATGAGATGCCTACATAGTTTTCTAGTCAATAAAGAAGTTGAAAGTAGGACCTTTCTGACTTTAATGCCAACCAGAAACTGTAGCACTGTCTTGATTTTTCCTTTGAGCTTTCTATTTGTACAATGCTTTGCTTTTTTGACCCCCTTTTGCTTACATCATCCAGTTTTGTCTTGAGGAAGAGAAAAGTAGCCCTGATACCGGGGAGCTGACCTGACTAGGCCTGGATGCTGTTAGAAGCTGGCCTGGAGCTCACCGTGACATCATGTTGTTCTCCTGTTGACACAACGGATGTCACAGAACATCAACATCAGACAAGCTCATTCTGCAGCTGTGATGAAGTGAGACAAAACAAGACCACTTCCTAATTTTACCTAAGCACAGACAAAAACAAGGTCATTGTGGAAACCAAGAAACACATGCCTGCTCCATTCTCCTCCACCCCCTGACTCTTGGCTAATATGAATGATCGCTGCTTTCTACCAATTACAGCTTTAGTCTCACTCTAGTCTGCCCCCACCGTAGTTAAGATTTATTAAGATACCCAATCACAGAACTGTCCCTGACAATCCAAAGCGAGCTCCTGCTTCCTTAGACCCTCCCCTTAGTCACCCAACCAAAGCCCACATCCTATAATACGTCCTTTCTCACACTTTCTTACTGAAATGCCCCAGGATCCCCTATGGTGTCATTCTCTCTCATTGTGATGAGTAATAAACTCAACTTGTTCAACATATAGGTATGTTCCTAATGATTTCAGCTGGAGGACATTGACAGTCTGTTAACTCGTCTATTCCCTAAGTAAGTGGGGAGGAAACCATCCCTGCCAGCCTCGTGGAGGGTAGGACACTGGCAAGTTGCAGAGGCAGGGCTAGAAGCCACAGATCTGATCTCCAGGCCAGCGTTCTTTCTCCTCTAACATGTAGCTGTTTAGGCTTTCCTTGTGCAGTTGGTGAGAAGTGTTAAGAATAGCAGATGGAGATTAAACTGCATTAGCTCCAGTTCTAATAAAATGTAACACACTAAAGATGGAAAGCAACATACCATTTGGTGGTTTAAGTTCACGGGTTTGGAATTAACAGACTCAGGCTTGGATTCTAGCACTGCCAACTAGTATTTGAATCATATAGGGAAAGTCACTTAAATGTTCTAGTTGTCAACTTCCTCATCTATAAAATGATGAATGATAAGGGTACCTTTCTCATAGACTAGTTGTGAGAACTAAATGAGATCATGCCTGAAAGCACTTAGCCCTCTGCCTAAGTAATACACTATAATAAGTAGTTATTATTATTATTTGGAAATGTACCTCTTGTAAAATTATGCTACACTGGCGACAGCGTCACAACAATCACTCAGAACTTGGAATAAAGAACAGCTAATATAGTTATGTATTTTTCAACCACATTTTTCATTTCCTCCTGTTCCTGACTGCTTTTAGTTAGAAAAACAAGGTTGGGAAAATAACCAAATGCATAACACCATCTAATCTTGAACATTTAAAGTATATTTATTTAACTTATTTATTTATTAAATTTCAGGGTGATACACTAATAAAGAAAGTTTGGATAATAGAAGGAAAACATATTCACAAATCCATCACCCTAACAAAGGGGGAAAAAGAGAACTAGTATCATTGAGCATCTACTGTGTCCTAGGCATAGAGCTAGATATGTTTTCACTTAATCCTCACCAGCATTTTATGAGAGGAAGGTATTTTTATTCCAATTTCACCTATAAGAAACTAAAGTTTATAGGGTCAAAGAAGCATAGTTCAAGGTCCCAGAGTTAATAGATGGTGTGGCTGGGCTCTACCCCAGGTCTGCGTGACTTCTAAGCTCTATTTCCCACTTTTATTCACCCAAAATACTTCACCAATTACTATTTTGTATATTACCTGCTATTACTTTTAAAAAATTACAATAGAGTTTTAGTTACCCCATAGGGGCAAATTTCCCATTATGTAATATAGTAAAGACACTGAAAAACAGAGTCAATATAATGTCTTCTGAAAGAAATAAAAACTATTCTATATAAGATTTAAGTACTACAGGAAAAATTGGGTTGCAAAATATAACATTTTTGGATGGCTTTCTACATTTTTCTAAAAATGGTGGCAAATCAATTCACCTCCACAAAGTAACCATTATTTATAACTTTTAAAAAATGACTCACATTGGAAAATTCTGAATGCACAAATGAAATTAACTTAAATATCCATGGTGACATGCTTCATATGTCACTAAATTACCTTCCTCCTCAAGAACTGGCACTAATTCTTAAAAATTGAGAGCAGCAAAAACGTATCCATCTTAGTTTCTGAGGTTCTTAAGAGCAACTGAGGCCAATGTTCTCCGTCTTCTATTTCTGTCTCGTCTCACAACAGCTCTCAGTCCAGCCTTGTGCTCAATAAATATTCCCGACTGACTTACTTAAACCAGCAGACTGCTGGATATGCAGCCAGGTGATTGATTCTCAGAGCAGTCTGCTCCTCAACTGAGCAGTGCTTTATGGATTAAAATCTGCTCTTGGAATATCACTCAGAAGCTAAAAGGCAAGCCATGCCTTGCAGATGGCAGAATTCCTGCTCACTCCAAGAACTGGAAAGTGGTTGGCCTCCCTGAGCCTTCTCCCTTTTACTTGTTATGTCAGAGTATCAGAGAGATGCCTGCTGTCTATGGAGGGGAGCACGACCTAATGAATAGCTAATCCCAGGATTCATCAATGCCAGTCTAATGAGGATCTCCAAGAGATGCACCCAGAGCACTCCACACCTGTTAGAACATGTCAGAGAGAGCCTGGGATGCTAGGTGTGAAGGAGCAATGAGGGGTTCACAAGGGAGCTGTGTCTTCACTTCCCTGAAAGTATAATGGAGGTGAGGAGGGATGTTGGGAGACATCAGCTTAATCCTGGTACCATGTTGGAGTACTGGAAGGAACAAAAATTGGGAGAGTGATGCCATACAGTATTATAAAAATTGTCTCTGGACACAGCTCTAAGTTGAAGTGGTCCTAGGTTTAAGAGAAAGGGGGCTGTATTAGAGTTTTAAAAAGTGCAACACAGAGGTCTTCTAAGGGTCTAAGAGAGCAAAACAGATCTGTTTGGGGCCATGTAGAAGAACTGGAATGCTCCTGGGCAAGGGGCTCCCCCAGGCATCCCAGAGTGGCCTGAGGCTGGGGTGGTTAGATCAACACCAACAGTGAGAGAGAAGGACCTCTCCAGGCTGAGACAGACCCTAGAGACAGCAGCAAGGAGAGTTTTTGTATTGTGACTTCCAATGATCCTCTTGACTGTGGGGAGGATATGTGAAAACCCAGTCCCTGATGTTGGAAAGGAGGATTGGACAGAGAAGAGAACTTGGGTTCCAGAAATTCTGCTACTAGGGGCAACAAGCCAGAGACTGCTGTTATTTTGACCAACATCCCCTTCGCTGTATTTCCGTGAGCTGATGAGGTCTGAAAATGCAGTTTACTCCAATAAGCAGAGCTGGCAGCAGTAATAGCGCAGCTGTTCTGGCAGAGAGGAGGCAGTAATGACTGTTGGAAGCAAGAACTAGCGTGTCAGGGAAGAACAGCATGGTGGGGCCGTGGAGCTAAATGTGAAAGGAGCCATCTGGGTTAGAGGTAATTCAGGGGAAGTGCATTAAGAGTGAAGACTGGATTTTCTTCTTCTTCAGCCCTCAGGGATGCTGCTGACCTTTCTTTAGCAGGACCTGAGCTCTGAGTGGTGTCACCTGCCAGCAGTGATGGCAGATTCTAACCCAACTGTCCTGACCCTCTTGCTTGACCTGCTTGTAGGGACACTGAGCTTTACAAAGCAACAACCATTGCCAGGCTATGATATAGGTCCTTCCACATACCTTATCTCATACAGTCTTCACAGTGCTCCCTTTCCTGGGTAGTGGTATCCCTCATTACCTCTTCTACATTACAGAGACTCTCTCCCTCAAGCGCATGAACACATTCAATCGCGTGCATCTTCAAAATTCTATTCTGGAGCCCTGTGTCCCTCTCCAGCCACTGCTTGAACTCATTCCTACTCTTGATAGCCAAGCTTTGTCCTCCACAACTTCACTTACGGTGTTCTCGTGGAGGTCACCAATGACTTCCTAATTGTCAAGTCTTATCTCATTTGAATATTCTGCAGTCATTGATGTTAAACACTTACGTGTTCGTAAAATCCTCACATATTGTTGTCCCAGACACAACTCTCTCCTGTTTCTACATCTCCTTCTTTAATATCTCCCTCTTAACCTGCTTTGCCAGGCATTCTTTTTAAATTATTGATGTTCCCCAGACTTAGACTCATTTCTCTTGTTCACTATGTTCTCTCTATGGTTTAAACTGTGGCTACCGTTTCAATTCCTACCTACATATCAGTGACTTCCAAATCTCCAGCTCTAGCTTACATCTCTTTCCTGGGCTCTAGCCTCATATTTGTGACAGCCAATAGGAGGATCTACACAAAACTGTCCCAAAGGCTCCTCAAACCTAAGACATTCAAAATGGTACTCCTTCCTTCCTTCCCAATTTTCTGTCTGTGTTCCTGCCATCCACCCATTCACTGTCCTTCCTTACATTCATAGTCCATAGATAATTAAACCTTATTGATTCTACCTCATAAAACTCTCTTGAATCTTGTCTCTTCTCTCCATCACCACAGCTACTTAAGGGTACAGACCACTACTATATCTAGCCTGGATCATTGCAACAGCATTTTGATGGTCTCCATTGCTAGCCTCATCCTTCTTTGCCATCCTTTTAGTGCCATCTAAGAAAGGGTTTAAAAACAGAAAGAATACCACCTGTTTTCTCTTCTTAAGAGGCTTCCATAGCTCCTCTCATCTATACTATAAAACCAACTCCTTAATATCTAGCAAAACGTTGAAGATAAATCTAAGACAAAAGTTTAAACTCTCACTTAGCTCAGGGGGGAAACTAGAGAGATCAGGACAGATAGGAGGTTAATGGGGGTATTGAGAGAAAAGAGAGGGACCAGAGTCACTTTCCTTTTTAGTAAGGCTGTGCAGGAGGCAGTCTTGCCTTTACCTGTACATCACTGTTCAACACCCTCTGAGAAATTTCTGATATGGGTTGAGGAGAAGGGAAGAAGGAGGATAACACTGAGGTGAGGAAAGAATAACCCTGGGGTCAAAAGACTGCTCCCATTAGTTCATACCTGCAACACGGAGGCTGTTTCTTGCACAGACAATCAAGTGACAACAGCCTTAGTCAAGGTCAAGTACAAGGATAAGAAAGAAGAATTCTACCACAGCTTGTTTGGTTCCTGGGCAGCAGCAGTGAGTGGCAGGGGTTTGGTGAAACCATGTCACATAGATTTTTGCAGATGGAAGCAGTTGCAGGCATTGGGATAAAGTAGTAGTGACTGAGGTAACCAGGCAGTAATCCAGAACCTGTGAGGCATAGAGAATGTGTGTAATACTGCGAGCGTGTGTGTGTGTGTGTTTATACCTGATTGTGAGATGATCTCCCCAAGAAAGCCTACATTTATTATCTTGCCTCCTCACTGTACTCAAGCTAGCAGGTTCTGGGGGAAATTTCCATTTCACAGCTTTTCAAAGTCTTCCATGATCTGGCTCTTATATGCATTCCCATGTTCATCTCTTGACTCCTCTCCTCCAACTTCTAAATTTTCACCCCAGCCACACTGAACTGTTTGCAGTCTCCTAACATACCATCGTCTCTCATGACTCAGCTTTTGCAAGCTGCCTGGGATGCCCTGTTCCTGCTTATTTACAGGTGATTCCTTTTGAGGCTGCATCAGGTCCTGCCTGCTCCCAAACCCTGTGCTCCCGGTAAGCACTGTGACTACTTTCAGGGGAGTGTTTATCACGTTGGATTGTAACAACTGGTGTGCATGTCTGCCTTCCCTATGTGACTGTGAATTCCTTCAGGTCAAAGCTATATCTTCTTCACAGGTGAAGAATAGTGTCTTATTCACAACTGAGCTCCAGAGCCTACCACATAGCCTTCTGCATAGTGGACATGCAAACATTTGTGGAAAGAAAGAACAGCATTGTGAGATAGATGTTATGTTGAACCATGTGATAGAGCAAAGACTCTAACTCAGGTCCATTTGATTCCAACCTCTGTTCTCATTAAGCCCCTTCACGCTGCCCATTGGCTTGAGAGCAGAGTCCTATGGAGGCATTGTGAGCATAGCCCCCAGTGACAGACCAACATGCCCTTAGCAAGAGTATAGTGGAAGAGGAGAAAGGGGAAGTCCACAACTTGAACCACCTACAGACACAGTTTGAAATGAAAGAAAAAATTATAAAAAAGAATCATGATGGAAACGTCTATAACCAGTGCCTTTCTCTGTATTGGTAGAAAGCATTTCATAAACCCATTGGGATGAATTCACTTATATTCCTTAGGAGGAAACCCTAGAACCATTGCTTTATTCCCTTGGTAGAGGTGAGGTCTGTAAGACAGTGAATTCTTAGGCTATTCAGGTTGACTGTAGGCTTCTGAATGCCCAGTCTAGTGTTTTATGATTAGGATATGAGTCTCAAAAATTTGGATTTTTCTGGAATATAATCTCTAGGAGACAATGGACTTCTGCTGTTTTTATTCTCTGAAGAAGGTCCAGCACAACAGGGTACAAATACTTTTGGATCTTGTATGTCTGAAATCAAAGGGAAAAAATTTCGAAATCTGATCTATACCTATATATTATTTGATGTATTTACAGCTTCACATATCACATAAGCACTAGTGCTTTGGATCCAAATGAATGCTTACAATATTTTGTATGTCAGTGGCATTTTAGGCTCTTGGCACAACAGATCTGTCAGGCAAATATTTGTTTTTTTGACACATACAGAAGCAACCACCCACTTATCTGGGTAAATACAAGATGTGCCAAGCTTGGCTATGTATTTCATTGGTACAGACCAGTAAAGATTCATCAGAGGTGACATTTCTACAGGGTAAGGATGCTGGTTTGACCAACTCTAATACAGAGTATGTGACTATGTAACAAAGGTCTTGGGTAATCCATGTTAACAACTATGTTACCCAATACTTTATTTATTAACTAGATTTCCAGTTTTATTTCCATTTCAGAACTCAACATTCCATATGGCATCTGGTAATAGTAGCTAAAACATTGGGTGCTTATTGAGTGCATTCCAGACATTGTTTTAAGCTCTTTGTAAATATTATCCTATTTAATTCTCACAGCTTTATGTGGTAAGTAATATAAATATCACTATTAGAGGCCCATTAAGGTCAATTGACTTGCCCAAAGTTACAGAGCTATTCAAAAGAAGAGCTGGGGTATGAACCCGTGTAATCTGAGGACAGAATCCACACTCATAATCATTATGCTACATTGCCTCTTGTTAAACCATATTGTCAATAAATTGTAAGTTTATGTCAATATCAATATCAAAAATTCTGAGATCTTTTGGGAGAAAGCTGGAAATTATTGGAAATCCCAGAGACGCCGAATGTTAGAGCTGGAGGGGACCTGAGACATCATCCAAGGCTGCATCTTCTCAGCATCCCTTCCTGAATCTTCATCCTTTTCTTGGTTTTCAAGTATTGGAACGTCCAAGTGTCCTCTTCTCTGCTATGTCCCTACTCTTTTCCTAGGTGATAAGCTCTAATATGGTGCCTTATATACATTCAATATGTCAGTGACTCCCAATCTATGAACTGCTGTCTAAAATACCACTACAGATCTCTTACAAGTCTAATAGGCATCTCCAATATAACATGGCCAAGACCAAACTCAGTTCCCCACCCATCCCATTGATCTCCTAATGCTCTCCATCCCAGTAAATTATAAGATCATTCACTAAATTGCCCAGGCTGCAAGCCTTAGAGTCATGCTTGACTCCTCTTTCTCTCATATCTAATACATCAGTATGTCCTGACAGCTCGGCCTTCAAATTTTATGCTAAATCTGACTACTCACCATCTCCACTAACACCGCCTTATCTAAGTCACCATCATCTCTTGCTGGGGTACCTTAACAGCCTTCTAAATAATCTAGCTGCTCCTACCCTTGTCCTTCTGTAATCTATTTTCCATACAGTAGCTAGAATAATCCTGTTACAGTATTAGTCGGATCATGTCACTCTTCTGCTAAAATTGTTCAGGTGGCTTCCCCAGTCTCTCAAGGGAAAAGCCAAAGTCCACACTTTCATCCATGAAGCTCTAGGGAAAGCATCTGTGCCTTGTTATTTTTCTGAATTCATTACCTGTGCTTTTCACCTTTCTCATTCCATTCCAACCAGACTGGACCTCTTGCTATTTTTCAAGTGCACCAAATTTGTTCCCACTTCAGAGCTTTTGGACTTGCTATTTTCCCAGCCTAGAATGACCTTCTGCCAGATCATTTTATGGTCTTCTCCCTCAGCTCATCCTGGTATTCGTCCAAATGTCATACTCTCTGAAAGCTTTTCTACAATCAGCATATCTAAATATCAGTCCCCGCAACACTCCCTATCCTCTTCTGACTTATTTCTCTTCATAGCACTTGTCACTGTCTGACATTCTTTTATGTGGTTTATTTGTGTATGGTCTGTTTCCCATGATAGATTGTAAGTTCCATGAGGGCAGGGCCTTTTTCTTCTCCCATTTGCCACTTTAATCTCTAGCACTTTGAAACTTCTTGACACAGAACAGGTGCTCACTAATTATACGTTGAATGACTGATTACTGAATTGTCTAATGAGGCTCCTTCATTTGAGGAAGCTGAAGCTCAGAAGGCCTCATAGTTACATACCTGGTAGAGGTAGAGCTGGGACACTGACCACTGTGTTATGTCTCAGCACTAGCTCTCTCTACTCAATTCTTTTTAATAGTTGATGTAATTTGTCAAGTGATACCTACCAAGCCTGTAAGGGAGGCTGAAAGCATATAATGTTTTGCCTATAGATGGCTTCACAGTTGGTGAATTTAGCGGCACATTAAAAACAGTAGCAAAAATAATAATAATTAATGATGGCAATTATACCTACTTAAATTTAACCTGCAAATCAACAATTGTGCTGAGTTTACAGGTCTTCTTCAGCCCAAGGTTTACATTCTCCTTTCCTAAGGGAAGAAAACTGCATTTAGAGAAACCAGGAGTGATGCACACACAGAGAGTACCAAACCTCTCAGTTCTCTAGAGCTACGGTATTTACCATATCCAATAACTTTCCCGTTTCCTGAGTTAAACACACGCTGTTTACTTACCTTCCAGAATACTGAGCTCCACCTGTTAGGTGATCTCTGGATCTGGAAATCATCCTCATACTCCCAGATTGAGGTGGTACAGTCCTCATAAAACTGGTGCAGGTAGGACCGGACTCCGTAGCGCTGGTACCCACCCTCAGTAGCAGCCTGTGCCTGCTTGGACCCACAGATGTTGCTGCAAGAACTCATCCTTCCCAGCTGGAATGACAACATCCACAAACGTCAGCCCCATGGGTCCTGGCCTCAGGATCAAATGGCATATTAAAGGTGAGAACTAGGCTGAGTAATGTTAGCCTATTTGAATAATGCTCTTTTCTTAAGAGAAAAGACACTTTTAAAGACCTGTATTTCTTATAAGCTGCACTTCTTTTCTACTTAATGCAAAATTACCCCAAATACTCAATGACTAGAACAGGTTCTCCAAAATGAAACAAGACACTCAGCACAGCTCATTTAAATTATGCAAAAATTTAAGCACGAAGCACATGAGAAACGGGAACAAAGCAGCTGGGATTTTCATTGTCTTGACAAGAGATCTTTAGTCTCTTAAAATCCAGTAGTCTATACTCTTACACTTTAAGGAATTAGGCAGGTGCTCTCCCTTGCTACACATGGAATTTGGCTTAGACTGTCCTTTCAGATGCTTAACCATGTTCCCTTGAGGAAGCTACTTAGTGCTACTCTTAGCAGCTTGAAATTTTGCCTTTAGATCTCATGCATCTTGCTCTAACGTTTTAACTAATTTCCAAGTTGTATGAAAGCCTTATTAAAAAGTTGCTGAGCAACTTACGCTTCATGCTTTATTAATCACAAAGGGCTTGGCCAATAATTTACACCTTACTGACTCTAATATCAGATAGTTCAATCATTATTTGTAGATACATCCTTCCATGTGGGATGCTAGAGCTTAATGGAGGCAGTAGATCTAGCCTCTTGTTATTTTCCATGAAGTGTCTAGTATACATAAGAATTCAGAGAATTCTTAAATGAAGCTATGCTCTGGGTGGGTTGTTTGGGACTCTGCCTTCTTAAGATAGAAATTTCTATTTGGTTTGACCTAATCAGTACATCTAGAGAGAGGCTTTTGGTGATGAATTTATGGTTTAAAAAAAAGCAAAGGGATTACTAGGGAATAGCAATTTTGGTGAGTAAGGGAATTCTCAGTAATCTCTGTTTGTTCTTTGTTTTTCTGATCTCCATATAAGCAGATAAATATGCAGCTGGAGAAGTGAAATACTTCTTTGGGCTTTTTCAATTGTCCTCTAGATGGTTTACCCTGTGAGGATGCAGTCAGTCTCAACATGACAAAGTAAAAAACAATTTAGAAGAGTATTTTCCCATTGAACCAGATTCTCTCAGGGCTTGTGCTATAATTCAGGCTAACAGAAGACATAGTAAATGTGTCCAATTACTTATCAAGAAACCAAGTAGTAATGTTTATCCAAAAGGAAAAAGTTAACCTAAGTTCTAACAAGTGCCCCTGCGTGGCCACTATGTTTGGTTGGATAGAATCATACGGCTAAAATGAAAGTTGCAGCCAGGGATAGTTAGCATTTCTCTATTCCATGACTGCAAAGTGAACTCGTAAGAATATCTTGTAAATGTGCGCTGTTAGCCACGAATGGGTTTTGATTAGAAAATGTAGTCACATTCAGGACAATATGGAGCTATCTTAGAAAAATGATGTAAACAGGTGCTACTGATGGTGACCAGTAATGTCATCTTTTAAAGTGATGGTCAATATTACATTTAGTGCCTACCTCCCCGTACCTTCTTCCTGTTTCAGGTAGAGCTATCATCTGAAGAAATCACCCAGGAGGACACGGCAGGGAAGGCAATTTATTTTATACTTTTAAACATTTCAGAAGGATATTATTTCATAAAAAATATCAAGATTGTAGAATGTACTCTGCCTGATTAGAGCAGCAAAGTCTGATGGATGAAATTCTTTTGTTAACCTAGTTTTCATATTTTAAATTCTAGGATGATCTCTTCAGTACCTTTTATTCAATGCTTATGCAATAAAGATGATTAATAAGGGCCTATTACTAGTGAATATAAGTAGAATAATTTAAAAAGTACTTTCTTTTAAGACATCCTAATAAAATTTTGGTCAAAGGGAGGTGGGAATTGGTATTATTAATTCTGTTTGTCATTGAAGAAAGCTGGGCATAGAACAATCATCTGCTAAATGTTACACTATGAGTCAGGGAGCAGGTGAAAGATGACAATTAACACAGTAAGCAGGAGTATGAACTGAATCACACATTTGCATAATCAAAACCAACTCATCCAAATACATATTTTCAGATTTTCTATAAAGCATCAGAGACTTTAACATGAACAAAGGAAAAAAATAGACAAGATAGTGGTAAAAAAAATCCTTCATAGCAACAGTAAGAGTTATTTTCCTTAGATGCTGAAGTGGTTCTTTCTCAGGATTGAGCTTTGATGCAGAGCAGGACCATCTGACATGTTGTAGTCATTCCCTGCACAGCTTGTTTCTGGCACACTAGGTTAAATGTTTCTGCTTTATAAGACGAGACTCAGTAGTCCAACTTTGTTAAACACAATATGGGTAAAATCATAAAAGAGATAGAAAGTGTCATAAAACAAATGTTTTTGAGCCTGAGTGATGAAAGGCTCTACTCTAAGTCAGAATGGATTTTTAGTGATGTTAGATACATTCCAGAAAAGGGATCCTAATGAGTTTTATTTTCTCCTCCAGGTGCACAAAGCAAAAGAACATGGTCTGCACTGTGTTAACCACACAGTTCAGAGAATGGGCTCTAACGCTAGTTCTTGATCTGCAGCTTACTGCTCATGACCTCTCAGGCAAACTCTTTAACCTCTCTGGGCTCTGGTTTCATCATCCTCAAAATAATATGGTTGGACCAGATAATCTCTAATTCCTTCCACATGAGGTTTTTCCAGGCGTCTTTGGCCATGAATCTACAGAATGAGTCAATTATTTTTGTTGGATAAACAGCTAGTTTACTGATTTCTCACCTCCTCCCACACCCTCATTGATAGATTGTCAGATTGTCCCCAATTCTGCTTTATTCTAGTACGTATGAAGCTTCAGTTTAAAAGAGCATATGAACTACTAGTTAGGTTAGTTACTTGGTATTAAGTAGACTGGATGGTTGTGTATTGTTTATTTGTTTAACAAGTTACTTCAGTATCACGTATGTTGCCTAAAATAGTAGTCCCTGCATGGACTACATCACGTTCATCACCAACAGTCTAGTTTCCATCTATCACCACACAAATGTCCCCATTTACCCCTTTTGTCCTTCCCCAATGCCCCTTCCCCTACGGTAACCATCAATCTGTTCTCTGTCTCCATGTGTTCGTTCATTTGTTTTTAGATCTTCCACATATAAGTGAAATCACATGATATTTGTCTTCTCTGTCTGACTTATTTCACCTAGCATTTTAACCTCAGGGTCCACCCATGTTGCTGCAAATGGCAATAGTTCACTTTTTTTATGGTTATTATTCCATTATATATATATATATATACACACCATATTTTCTTTATGTATTCATCCATCAGTTGGCACTTAGGTTGCCTCCAAGTCTTGGCTATTGTAAATAATGCTTCAATGAACATAGGGGTGCATATATCTTTTTGAATTAGTGTTTTTGTGTTCTTTGGAGAAATACCCAGAAGTGGAATACTTGGGTCATATGGTAGTTCTAGTTTTAATTTTTTAAGGAATCTCCATACTGTCTTCTAGAGTGGTTGCACCAATTTACATTCCCATCAGCAGTATACAAAGGACTTTTGGTGTTGAACATGATGTAGTCTATACAGAAGTCAAAATATAATGATGCACACGTGAAATTTATATAACGTTATAAACCAATATTACCTTAATTAAAAAAAAATAACAGTCTCTGGGGGTCTTAGAGATTTCATACATCTTTCCAAACATTTAACTTGTTGGGATTCACTCCTAGAGGAGAATGATCACTTGGGGGAATATGAATTTTAAAATATAACATAATAGAGTGAGAATTTTGCACTTACAAAATCTCAACAATTACATTCCTCATAGGGAAGCCAGTAACTTTTTGCCCCAGTATAAAAAATGTTACAGTTATTTGGAATCTACTTGGTTGACTGACACCTTCAGCATCATAAAGAAGATATACAAGGTCACGTCATAAAATCACTTTAAAAGCTGGGCAATTATTATATAATAAACTAGGGTTGAGAAGAAATGGAAAATAAGTCAAAAGCTTTTTAGCTTGAATTATCATTTACTTAATGAGTGAGTTTTCATGAGAATTCTGGTGTTTTTATTTCAATAACTATAGTAGCAGTAGCAAAAACAACACGTTAAATCTATGACTGTTGTTAAATGATGAATCCTGGAGGGTGTCTTTCTGTAGAGAAAGCCTAATGTCTCAGGAAGTGCATGAATGGAGGGTGGAGAGTGAAAATATTTTTCAGTATTGTATTTAAATGAGTCTATGTGAATATTCATTTTATAAACACTTCAGTGGAGCCTGTTGGATCCTCGCTGCCTACATTGCCATCATGATGGAACACAAGCAACATTAGTGTCTGGTTGTTTGGTCATCTACGAAGAGGGGATTGTTCTCATTCTCCTTGAAGGACATTCCAGGTGCTGATAAGTGAGGATCCATCCATGGTTTTCTTCCCATAGTATCTATCTCAATTGCATGCACAGTTATACATTAAATGGATATTTAATTCTCAGAAACACAGCCCACCTATCATACCCCAGAGACCCATAGAAGGAGAAAATCACACCTTACCTCCTCTCCCAAACTCTTGTGAGAGGCTTTCTCCAATCAGCATATTAAATATGAGCCCTCAATTACTCTCTCTGCCTTTTTCCAGATTTGTTTCTCTTCATAGCACTTGTTACTACCTACACTCTATTATGTGCTTTATTTGTTTATGGCCTGATAGACTGTGTACGTGATAGACTATAAGCTTCATGAGGGCAGGGACTTTTTATGTCCTGTTTACCACCTTAATCTCAAGCACTTTGAAACTTCTTGGCACAGAGTTCTACATGGGTTGATGTGAGTGATGACCTAAGTGTTCCTTTATTTTTCATTCCTCTCTTCCTTCAGTGTTTTTAAAGCACTAATTATGTAGCAAATTATGTCAGATAATGGTTTCAAAGATGAGTGAGGTACAGTCTGCTCTCAATGGACTCTTGGATTAGAAGGTGAAGTATCCCAGAAGCAATAAGTGCAACAAAACGGCAACCAAAAGACATATTTGCGATGGGAGGGAGTGCAACTGCTGAGACTCCCTTGAACAATTCCTCTATTAGGCAAACAAACCCACATGTATATTATCATGATCTCTATGTGTACCAACACACTATGGTATCAATTTGTTGGAAATTTGAATTTCAGTTGAATATATGCAGTTACTTTTTATTTTACTTGAAAAACGTCCGTAGCCATAAAAATATAAATAAGTCTTTATGCCTAATGAAACTCTAAGAATACCATAGACTTTACATTATTGGTCTTCATGGTCTCCTTGAGAGAAGAGAGGCAGAAAATTGCGGCACAAAAAGGATGAGTGTTTTCCCATGGCTCTATGTGTGAGTCAGTGTGAGGCCAGGCACAGGCCCTATTCTAGTTATTCTCTTTGAAACATCATTCAATTTTTCATACTGCTTTTCTCTCCCATAAAATCATTCTGAGATAATGAGAGTGAAGTTCCCATTAAAGCCACTTTTCCACAGGGCCAGTGCTGCAAGGTATAGACACATAACTGATTTAGACCATTTATTCCACACAAAACCAAAAGGTCAATTCACTTAAAAGACAGACTCAGAGTGGATGCAGGAAGGCATGAAAGACTGCTAACAGCCTTTTTACTTTTAAACCAGAGATTGTGGCTCTATATTATGAGATTTTTTTTATATCCTCTAAGTCAGTGGATATGCAGCCACTTTTATACTTTTTAAAAGAGGGGTAATAACATGCAATTATCTTATTACTTTAATCCTTCAAGATATATTTTTAAGTAAAATATATAAAATACAAAATCAAAATAAGAAGAGGAAAAAGAATCTATATTCTCTTTAAATTTCTTCTTTATCTACATGCAGACCACAAGGTGCTTATAAATTTACATGGGACAAGGTTTGACTCTTACCTTTGAAATCCTTCTCTTCCTCTTCTTATTTGTTTACTCTTTGAGCTTTCTTTTTAACAGTGCATTCTTCAAACCTATTTAAGAAAAAAAATCTCTGCAGAGTGCGATCCAGATAAAAATCTAAATTTCATAAGCCATTCTTATAACTTGTAAGGAATCATTTTAATGTTGACAAAAACATTGACAAAGGACTTCTTGTTCAAAAGCAAAGGTAGCTTTTTCCTTACAAAAGTATAACATATTTTATAACTTTTTAATGGGTGCTAATCAGAGTTCACAGAGTAAATCAGACAACATAAATGAAAAGGGCCTTTAAACTATAACACACTGTACAAACGCTATTCTTATTTTAATATAATTATATTCCACGTAGTCAATAATCCCAACAAGACTGATCCATTTGTATTTTGAAAATTCTAAATAAAAAGATTGTTTCCTAAATACTCTAGAATGGATCTATTTGGTACCTGTTCCATTATATGGTAAAATACATTAATCTTATAGCCAGTGTGTTTTGTGATCTGTTTACATGCATTTTAGATTTAGCAAGGCTCTTTGGATGATTTTCTCATTAGGTTGATTTTTACTCCTATATCCATTTTCTTCCCATCATGATCATTTTACTTTCCATCTGCCTAAGAAAAGCAGGTGCTCATGCAAGATTTAATTAAAAATCCATTGCCAGCTATTGAGCTATTGGTTTCCTACATTACTCTAGTCATGTGAAATAAAATAACTGGGACCATTTTGTTCAAGAAGTCATTAAGAATTCTTTCTGATGAACCATTCCTCATCCATTTGCAGGAGAACCTCAAAGACTTGAGGAGATTAAGCTAGTTTAGGCCTGATAAACTGTTGTCAGTATTTTCTAGGTTCAGTCTATATGAACCATAGCCAAATCTTCTTCAAAACTCATTTTTTTGTCTGCAAATCTTATTTTGTGGGTCATATGTGAGCAGATTTGGGGAGAGAAGCAAATTATATTAGGATCCTGGATCTGGATAAGCAAAAGAAAACAAGTCTCTCTAATCTGTTCCTGTCTTTCTCAATTAAATGTCCCTTCTTTTTATCTGTCGCCTTCCCCATTTTCTTTGAAGGAAGTGACTCCACACATGCCCTTCACCGAAGGTTGGCCTGGTCTGGAGCCCAAGGAGCTCTCCATGGTGCTGAAAACATTTCTGCTACAGAGCCAGGAACCAATTAAGCAAACACCAGCTGTTTAACTCCAGCTGTTTTCTTTGAGGTCATCAGCTTGGGTCTAACGCCCGACCCAACGCCCCTTTCTAACAACACAAATAAGTAGTTCCTGAGATCATATCAAAACACTCGAACACCTTTAGACATGGCAAAGTAGTGGGGAGGGCAAGTGGGGGTTAAATTCAGCCTGGAAAATAAATCAAGCCAGCTTTACAAACTCCAAATATACGTATTTACTCTTGCCTAATATACAACTTTTCCTGTCTCACAGGAAAGAAACTCAAGTTTTCCCTGTACACCTCCCAAATTCTTACATAACACAAACCACAAACCGCCAAAGCGTGGAGTTGGCTACCCTTAATTTATTTGTGTTCACAGATTTCAAGACCACGGTTTTTGTAGACATTTGTGCACGTATAACAAACGTGAATGAGTTAGGGTTGTGTGTGTGTTGGGGCGGGGAGAGATACAGAGAAAGAGAGAGAATATGAATATATGTGCGTGAGGAGAGAGGAAGGGAAGAGAAAGGGAAGAGACGGAGAACTGGAGAAAGACAAATTGAGCATAGAAAGCCGCACCCCTGGGCTCCGCATGGCTTTACCTGCCCCCTCCGATCCCCTGACCCGTGGAGCAAGTGCAGCCAACTAGCCGCAGATCTCTCGCTGGGGTCCCATCGCCGCCGCCGCCGCCGCCGCCGCCGCTGCCGCTCCCGCCTCGCCAAGCTCAGTCTGAGCGAGATTGACAGCTGGGCGTCCCGCGTGCCCGCGCATCCGAGGCCCGCGCAGCTGCGGCCGCCGCCGCCGCCGCCACCAAAGGGGCCGGGTCCGCTCTGCGCGGGCAAGCGGCGAGTGGGCGGGGCCCGGATTGGGGTGGCACGCCAGACCCCCTTCCTGCCTGCGCCCCCGGGTATATGCTTCCCTGCAGGAGGGTGGCTGGCCATCTGGAAGGCTGGTCGGTGTGCCACGCTGCAGCTCTGCTGGGCCTGACGCCTTCTCTGCCTTTCTGCCTTGTCCACTCTTTTCTTCTCCTGCCCAGCACAATGGCTGACCGCAGCAGGCTCTATACATATATATTTTTTTAATGAACAGAGAAGGCAGACAGACCTGATGTGTGTTTCTTTCACAACTACCCCATTTGGGATAAGGAGAGTCTTCTCCTCACCTCGTTTTTTTTTTTTTTTTTTTTGTCCTTGATGAGACACGAGCTGAGGAGCTTGTCTGGCTGGCAAGGAGCTGCCCACCAAATTGTGCCCTTCCGGTTCCTCAGTCACCGCTGACCTAAACATCAGGAAGTCTAAATGGGTGAGATGGAAGAATGATGAAGAAAATGAATTAAATGATGCTGTTCAAGAAAAACTACACGAATGAAGGCAAGAAAGCACTAGAAAATGACCTGTGAATGTCTCAATTTGTGTAGGTGTGGGCAGGTTAGCATATTAATACTATGACTCCTACTTCAGAAGAGTTTCTGCAGACCACTGGTTAGTGGCATTTAATGAAAATGATTACTAAAATAGTTACTATTTGCACAGCCAATCCACACATATAATAATAGTAACACCTTACATTTACGTAGTGCTTCCTCTGTGCCAGACATTCCTTTAAATATATTACAATATATTAATTATATGCATATTGAGTCCTCACATTAACCCTACATGGTGGGTATTCTTTATTATCCTAGTTTACAGATGAGGAGGCTGAGTACAGAGAGAAGTGACTTGCACTCATGATGATACAGGCTCACAATTATTTATCACAGGTCATACAACTACCAAATGTGGGAGGCGGACTGGAATCTACAAGGTTATCTCCTGGAGAGAATTTAGGGTACAAGTGATATTTTGCCTAAAGAAGATGAGGAAACAACTCTGTTTTTACGAAACAGTGGAAACCAAAGCAAATATTGAGCAAATGCTTCCAGGGGAACCAAGGAGAGGGATGGTTGCGTCGTCTTTGTTCCTCCAGTTCACAACTCTTGCCCTGGTTGCAACACTACTTTTCAGCACTGCGTAAGCCTATAGGTGCCACTTATTTTTTTCTCCCTTCCCAGTTTTCAGGAAGGCGCATCTTTCAGGTGTCTTGACATGTTGCTTGTTAGCTTGCTTTTTCTCATATTCAGTGCGTGGATTTGGTGAACATTTATTTATTTTTAGATTGTGCCATGGTCAGTGTGTTTTCCCATCCTTGAATCAGCATACATTCGAAAATCCAGGGGCTCTGAGTTGCACCTCTGTCAGAGGTTAGGCTTCCGGAAAGGCATGGCTGACTTCCTTGTTGGTTTCTGGTCCTTGTCCTGGTTTCTTTTGACAATGCACAAAGAATCTATCATTCATTAATTCAGAGGCAGTCTAAATAGGGCTTGAAATCCGACAGACCTGGGTTTTCATCCTGGCCCTGCCACCTCCTGCTATTTCACCTGGTTATGTTGCTTTACCACTATACCCTATTTTCCTCATGTATAAAATGCTTATAATAAGATCTACTTAATATGGTAGTTATAAGAATTAAATAAAATTATATTTACAAAACATTTATCACAATGTCTGGTGCATAGTAAATACTCAATAAATTATAGCCATTACTATTATTGTTGTTGTTGTTGTTGTCATTTAGTTAAATGTTTTGGGAGCCTAAGATATTTTCAGTTTGGAGTCTCAGGTCTTCGAAGTTTCCCAGGCACTCGCCATGTGCTTCATCTCCTCTTTTCCTGTATCTGTTTCCAACCTGTGCCATCTCTGGCCTCTCTGTGGAAGTTTCTGATGAGGTGGCACAGGCGTGGACACATATCCAGGAGGCTGCGGGCAACACAGGTCTTCTAAATTCCACTAGCACATCTGCCTTTGGTTCTTCCGAATCTGAAGTATGTTGAATTAGTGAGATAAAGTAAGATATGATTTACTCACTCCAAGATGCCCTTAAAATGTGAATTATCATGATTATCTTGCCTTTCACAAACCATAGCTTTTATTTATTAGTTTTTCAAACATTAGGAAACAAAGATGATTACTTTGAAGCAACCAAATTTTCACTTAGAACATACCGCACAATTTTCCTGGGTTATAGTTGTAGAAATATTTACCAGTGAGTGTCTTCTTAATTCTTTATTCAGCACTCATTCATTGAATGTCTGTCATTCAGAGCACAAAGCGGGTGGTACAAACAGAAGCGTTGTGGAAAGTCACAGAGAAAAGGGGTCAGGAGAGGTTGTGCATTCCTGAGTTGTTTTCCAGACGAGATGCTGTGATAAGGCCTCAACCAGCCTTTGTAACCTTATATTTCATGAATCTCCTTCTAAGTTGATTTCTCATCACACTGAGCATATTCGTTGCTCTTCAAACACAGCTTGCACTTTCTTCCTTCCCTTTATTGACTTCAGTGATTCTCTGTGTTTCTTCCCCATTATATGTATTTTCAAGCGCTGCCCATTCTTCAAGTCCTAGCATGACCACCACCTTTTCAGTAAAGCCTTCTTCAATATGCTTGAATATGATTCATCGTTCTTTATTTTGAACTCATATAGCATCTAGTCTCAGCTGTCTTATCATACTGCCTTTTTTTTTTCACCTTGTATTGGTGTTATTTATGTATCTATTTACTCTCCCTTTTTAGGCTTGTAAACATCATGAAGGAAGGATTTACCCACAGTTCACTTTGTATTCTGCACAATGACTAGTACATCACTTTGTATAAATTAAGTATTCATTTTTGGTAAGTGAACAAACTAGTGAATGAACGATGTGGATCTGAAGATGAGCCTTGACAGGTGGATAAGATTTGGATGAAAGGAGGAGAGAAGAGAGTATTGTGACAGTCTTGGGGGATGAAAAGCCCATGATTCAGCTTGCAGGCTCAGTTCTGAGAATTGTTCCTGGAATTCAGGGTCTGTAAGAGGAGGATGAGACAGTGATGGAGAAGGGGCTGCACATAATTTGTTCACTTGCCAAAGAGAGGCAGAACCTTGAGCCACTGGACACTTTGGTGGTGGACTGCATTGCTCCTAGGATGACTGCAGCCTGGTCAGCCTCTGCCTGACCGGCTGTGCAGCCTGTCCAAGCTGAGGCCACAGTGTTCCGTGCCAGGCAGTAGCTTGTGATTCATATGCTCTCTGTGTTCCCGGACAGAACAGATGTCTGTCTGCTTTCTTCTGCCTAACGATGATGGCAGGTTCCCAATGATAAAGATCCAATTTCACATTTTCTGAAACACAGTGGCTGAGAAATTCTGTGTGGCCAGTTCTGAGGCCCAGCCTCCCCCTTTGCAGGGGATCTTTGCTTTGCAGATTAATATGGACAGAGAGGGCAGTGGGCAGGAGTGGCGGCAGCACTTAACCTTGCTCAGGTGGAGCAGGTGATTGGAGGGAGTACTGGGTGTGGTCTCCACCCAAATATCTTTGCTTTTCTGCTTTCCTTTTTCCTTTACTAACAATAGGGCCTTTGCAGATGTTAGAAATCCACTGCTACAAGAGAATATTTGGCGTCTGAAATAGTTTCTTTTTACAAGTTTATCTTAGGAAGGGGGAATATATTGGCAGTTCCTTAGCTATTAGTGAAGAGTCAGTGGGATCCTTTCTTGTACAGAATGATTTGGGGGATGGAAAAGGAATAGGGTAGGGCTAGAGTGGAAACACATGTTCAGAGCCTGAAAGACTGCCCCAGGACCTCAGAGTGGTACGTCTCCATAATTTTTTTTCTGTGTTTTTTCCCCCTGGTTTTTATTGAAATATAATTCACATATAACACTGTGTAAGTTTAAGGTGTTCAATGTGTTGATTTGATACACTTATATATTGCAGAATAATTACCAGCATAGCATTAGCTACCACCTCCATTGTCACCTAATTACTACTTCTTTTTCAGAACATTTAAGATTTATTCTCTTAGCAACTTTCAAGTATATAATACAGTATTATTAACTATAATCACCATGCTGTACATTAGATCCCCAGAACTTACCTATGTTATCACTAGAAGTTTGTAACTTTTGACCAACATCTCTCCATTTCCTTCACTCCAGGATCCCTGGCAACCATCATTCTACTCTCTATTTCTATGAGTTCAGCTTTTTTAGATTCCACATATAAGTGAGATCATACAATATTTGTCTTTCTCTCTCTGACTTATTTGACTTAGCATAATACCTTCAGGTTTCATCCATGTTGTCACAAATAGAAGGATTTCCTTCTTTTTATGGCCGAACAATATTCCACTGTGTTGTGTGTGTGCGTGCGTGTGTGTATACCACATCTTCTTTATCCATTCATTCATTGATGTATGCATGAGTTGTTTCTACATCTTGGCTATTGTAAATAATGCTGCAATGAACACGGAGGTGCAAATATCTCTTTGAGATCCTGTTTTCATTTCCTTTTGATATCCCCCAGAAGTGGGATTGCTGGATCATATGGTAGTTCTATTTTTAATTTTTTAAGGAGCTTCCATACTGTTTTCCATAGTGGTTGCACAAATTTACATTCCCACCCGCAGTGCACAAGGGTTCCCTTTTCTCCAATGTATACCAACACTTGTTATCTCTTGTCTTTTTGACGACAGCCATTCTAACAGGTGTGAGGTGATATCTCATTACAGTTTTGATTTGAATTTCTCTGATAATTAGTGATGTCAGGCACTTTTTCATGTATCTTTTAGACATTTGTGTGTCTTTGGAAAAATGTTTACTCAGGTCTTTTGTCCATTTATTAACTGGAGTTTTTTTTTTTTGGCCATTTAGTTGTAAGAGTTTTTTATATGTTTTGGATATTAACTCATTATCAGATATATGATTTGCAGATATTTTCTCCCATTCCATAGGTTGCATTTCCTTTTGTTGATTATTTCTTTTGCTGTGCA